GGTATTTTGTATAGTAGTAAAAATTTGTGCGATATTGCCACAAAGTTGACTGGAAAAAATAAATAGATTTGTTATCTCCTAATTTTTAAAGGAAAAAAATCTTAATCCAAATCTTATACACACTTATCAAAACCTACTTCCTGTCTTAAACACTTTAACCTGCTGCCTAGAGCAATGTTTGAAATGAATGATTGACACTAAATCTTCATTGAAAGCATTCCTGGAAATTTAGATATCCTCTTTAAAATTCACATCCCCAAAATCATATATTAGGTAATTATAATATATATATATATATATATATATATATATATATATATATATATATAGTGGTATGAATAGAGAGTTTAAAGAACACATAATGTTAAAATATTAAGTACGTGTTTATATAGCCCTTGTGGTAATTTCATGTTTTAGGATGAATTCTTTGGAGGTCCAGGGGTGGACATGTATTTGTGAATTGCTGGAGCAAAAACCATATTACATCATCTCCAGTTCTCCCTATTTGTTCATCCATTAGCTATGATCTTCTCTGTCTTTTGTATCATTCTACAACCACGATTCTTCAATATTGCAGGAAAAATGGATTCCAGCACAAGCTTTGCAGCCTAGCAATTTGGAAGCCTGGTGTAGTCAGGCTCGGTTCTCACCCAGCATCCTCCTGGGAAGTTCGTTTGTATATGTATTGAACGATATTGTCACCATGGGATGAAGTGATTTAACCCCAAAGATGGATGCCCTACCAGAAAGTTGAAGCAGAAAAGAGCTATAACTTTTATTTCTTCTGCTAAACTCCAAAGTTAAATGAGAGTTTTTAAAAGAAAACCTATCTTAATATTATTTTTAATTTTTACTTTACATGATTCATACTATTAAGTTTTTTATTTTTCTATGTTTATGTGATGTGTTAAAAAATAAAAACAATTACATACATGTGGATATACAACCTATAAGTTGCATTTCTTTGCTTAGAAATTTAAAATATCAATATCAAACTGTTCTTTGGTAAAACATGTAAATGAAAGGATGTTTATGAAATTAACAGGTTTTTTTTTCATTTTAAACAATTCCATGAGACTATTTCCAAAATAAAAATTGCTTTTTTCATACTAAAAATGAATTTATAATTGAATCTTGTGATTTGTTACATTATAATTAATGATCTAATGGAATCTATTAGTTAATTAGATCAACTGCATGAGACAAAAATACAAATTGAAAATGATTGACTCACAGTAATTGATTCAGTGGCTATTTTTGAAAGTTATCTTGCTTAGAAAAAAGAGACATGTGTTGCTGCTAATACTTCATATGATATTACATTTATTATATTTTCTATTTTGTTTTCTAAACAATCTCAATACTTGGCATTATTATAAAAATTGAGAATATTAAAGACTAATAATTTTCTAAGTATCAAAAACATAATTGCCAATAGATCAAGGACTTAATATACATATTGTTCTGAAAGCCCATGAACCTTCCACTATACTAAACTACATTTTTGTTTATACATTTCATTTATCATTTTGTTGGAAGGAAATTGTTTCATTTTAAATAGACATAATAAAAGGAGAATTGCACAGTAGTTAAATATATAAGGCATAAATGATCCATTATTTAAAATATATTTCACTGAAAATTAACCATGCGATTTATTGATAAGGAATTATCTCAGTTTCTAAATCTAATATTATTAAAAATATTTGATGTCAAGTGTTTATATGATGAAGTCTAAAACTTTCAGTCTGATATTTAAGGTCCTTCAAAATTAAGCCTTTTTTCTACACCTAGTGCCATGTGCATTTTATTCTCTATTCTTTTCTGAAAGAGCTCTTATTTTTCAAACCCAGATCACCCTTTATGTCTGTCACCATACTTAACTTTACATTTTTTATTAAATTGTAATTACTCTTATTTCTCCTTTCACTGTATCAGAGTCTTGCCTTACTGAGAGCCCATTTAACCAGAATAGCATCTGTCATATCCAATCCATGTATATTGACTTTTTTTGTTTAAATGTTGTCTTCTCAAGGAATCCACATATTCCCAAAGAACTCAGTTATTATTGGTATACTTAGTCCATTACTATTCAGAATTCCAGTGCCCAATCATCCTAAGCCATAGTTGCCCATCAATAAATGTATGATAAATATTAAAAATAAAATTTCTGATTCACTATAGGAAGGCTGGAGCTATGTTGACTTCCCTCTTCATTATCCTATTTCCTCTAATGTCTGCATCACAGTTTAAGTCTTTTGTGAGTGAAGCTCAATATAGCTTTTTGAAATTTTACCAATATAAAATCTTCTTAGCTAGATTATGAGGTTTTGTGGGGAGCATATTAATCTGTACCATAGAACAAAATAAAATGTAAACCATAAATTAGAGTAAATATGGGAAAATACAAGTCTCAAAAAAAGATAATTATTAATGTAGAAAGTTTATAAATTTATTTCAATAATTTATTTGAAAATACATTTCAAAGAAAAGAATTAAAAATGTCTAAGGCAAATGTAAGAATGCAATTATCTACCTTACTAGAACTTGAATAAACGCAAAATGAAATATTTACTTCATTTAATTTCCTTGTATGTGTGTGCGTGTGTGTGTGTATGTGTGTGTGTGTACATGCCTGGATGGTATTATTGGTCATAGATGTGTGTGTGTAGAAATGGAAAACCATAAGAAAGTTTTAAACATATTCACATATTTTCCATTGATTCTATATATAAGCTCACAACCCAAGAAAAATTCAGAAATTTGAATGAATGTTGATAGAGTAATACTTATGACAGCATAATTTATAGTAGGGAAAAAGTAAATACAATCTAAATGTTCCTAAATAAGAAAACACACAACTGAATAAGAACATTATCACAATCTAAAGCCAGGACRTTTTACAAAATGAGAATCTTGAAGATGATTTTATTAACCTGACTAAATATTTACTCTGAGTTCCTATTTAAGAAAAAACAGATTATACATTGTGAAAATTAATACTCTTGGGATTTTATGATTATGGATAATTCATTTTTTTAATTTTAACTTTTCTTATTTCTAGATTTTTTTGAAAATATGATTTATTACCCTCAGCTATCCATGCATACATCTAGGGGTGCTGTATTCAGTAAGACATCTCATATTGATCTTGTGCAGACATAGAACATACTCTTCCACATAGTCATGAATCCTTTTATTATGAATATATCATCTGGACATCCTGTTCTGATACCATTAACCAACTAATCTCAGTCTGAGCTCACCATTCTAACAACTACAATCCATCTCCCAGTATAGATCCAAATGTGGGAAGATATTGCTGGTTTATGTTTCACATCTTTTGATATATTGTCTCATATAAATGGTTGTCATTTGGGGTTTATGTATCTTCAATTATTATCTAAAGGAATGTGAGATATCCTTGGAAAGCAGATCCATTTTGTTGGGCTGATTTCTCATAAGTTTCTAGAAGTTCCTAGAAGTTTGTAAATTCAGTAATAAAAATAAATGCCTTTTATGAAGCCTCTGAAAGCCAGGTATCCACCATTTTCAGAGAACATCCTCCTCCATTAAATTCCAAATACAGTATAAGTTATTCTGTTGTAGATGCTCTGAAGCATGCCTCTTAGGGCTTGCACCTGGACCAATTACCAGAAGTAAGTTAATTAACTTCTACATTATGGCTCAGTTTTCTAGTATAGAAGTCAAAATTTTGGTATACTTATGGTATTGTAGAAAGAATGTGTTACCATGTGTGATGTTCTTAGAATAAAAATTTACTAATTTTAAATTAATAAATAATTTTAATTAATAATGTAGACCAAGTATAAGGTTGTCTGTACTATTATATTCCCTTTCCAGTATTATATTCCCTTCCCTCAAATTATTCTCTTTGGAAATATTTTATATATTTCAGTTTCTTCCATTGTTGTTCAATTTCTTTCTTTGTACACACATCACCACAATTTTATACCTCCTATCAGTCTCTTTGTTTTTTTTCTATTCAATGATCTGCACATTTTAGGCACTTGGTAAATATCTACAAAACGATGTACAAACGTTTTCATTGACTATATATTAAGTAATATACAACAAGCTCCTAATAATAATTATTTAAAAACTAGAGAGAAACATTTATTTTTGAATCTAGTGTTAATCTAGAACTACCTGTGTTAAAGTCTTCTCAAATAAATTACGATATTTTATTAATATCTATTATCAGTATTATTAATTTTCATGTGTGTAATCAGTGAATTATATGTCTGCTCTTCTCATTAAAAATTTGCAAAAAGGCATGATTATTTGTGCATCTAATGATGATGGAGACAATTTGTGCTAATTATAAAAGATCATGAATAGGAAATTTTCCCAATAAGAGCAAGTTATGGTTAAAAAGACTAAGTTTCAGTCAGATCATGTATTTGAGACACGGTAAAAACAAAAACAAAAACAACAACAACAAAAAACATTCTTCTGGATGACTAGCTTGTATTCTGTCAAGTAGAATTTTTTTAATTTTTTTTTATTCTAATTTGTTATACATGACAGCAGAATGCACTACAATTTATATTATACATATAGAACACATTTTTTTCACATCTCTGGTTGTACACACAGTAGAGTCACACCATTTGTGCCTTCAAACATGTACTTAGGGTAATGATGTCCATCTCATTCTACCATCTTCCCTAACTCCTTCCACCTTCCTTTCCCCTCCGACCTCTTTGCCATATCTAGAGTTGCCCTCTCTAGAGTTGCTCCCCTTTCCAACCCCACTTTTTTTTTTAGGAAGAAACAATGTAAAATTTTCTTTCTTTCTTTTTTTTTTTTTTTAAATAAAAAGAGTCCCACAACATTTATTTCCATCTGGTTATAACAGAAGGGTCATCAAAACAATGTGAACAAATGTTTTAGAACTATATTCCCAGCAAAGGATACCTAAATTAAGAAAAAAAAATTGTAGCTTTCTCTGTAATTTCTCACTTCATTGATCATTTCTAATTGGAGACACTTTGTAGCAGAGTAATATTATCTCCTTGTAGCATGATAAAACCCAGCTGTTTTCTTGACTTTGTTTTAGAATGGATCTCTTCTGCATCATCTAATGCAAAGTTCACGTCGTCATAGAAACCAATAATACAGCCCTCTATTCGCATATTCACTTGCTCATAGAGCCACACCTGAACCTGGAATCTGTTTTGCAAGTATCTGAAGATGAGGTTCTGCACCACAGTGGTTAAAGAAGAAATCCCTCCACAGCACAGGCTCTGCTCCCTGAAACTGAGGAGGGACCCAATCCTTTGTTTTCTGAAGGCGAGCTCTAGTGCCTACTGCAAGAAGGGTCAAAGTGGGCCTTCACTGGCGGGGGTGGGGGGCGGGGAGAGGTGATTTGGAGGCACCTTCTATACTCCGAAGGAAATTCCACTCTCTCATCCTCCTGGAATCCCCTTGTTGCTGACACCTTCCTCCTGCCCTAGACCTTGAAATCCTGCTTTCTCTCCATATCCACCTAAAGTTGTGTCTCCTCCTCTCACCCTGCCATTCCTGAAATTTTCCCACAAGAGCTGTCCAAGCCCACCTCCCTCAAGTAGAATTTTTATTCTTTAATGTTACACCCATGCAATGTAATCTTAATTCTGCTTATTTATTAGGATAACCCCCAAGCCACTAAAAGGTGATAAAAAAAATTCTGAATTTTTAAAGAAATGTCCTATTATTAAATGGGTTGCTTTCATTTTTTAGAGTCTTATGTTACTGGAAGTCTTCGAAAACATATCTGTATATGAAAGAAATATTGTTAATTAGCCAAAATTTTTTGTATACAATTTGTGTTGGTAACAGAGTTGACTAAGCACAGTCTAATGGCTTTAGACCAACTATGACTAGTAGTTTACATTTTCAAAGGCAGCAAAAGTGTAATCTACCAGTAGCGAAAATTTCAACTATACAAATAGACATGAAAGGGAAGTATAAATTACTCTGACCAATCTGAACTTTCAGAAAATTATATTACCATACAAACAATTCTACTTATCTCACTCAAGGCAAATACATTTTACAGCATATGCTAAATCTGAAATGCTAGTTGTTTTTATAAATCTCAATTAAAATAGACTGGCTTTTAGCCATCACATTTCATTATCTCCAATTCTCAGCTTTTCTTTCTTCTTTGATTGAGAATTACTATTTTAACTTAGATACATTCCTGTCATTTGCATCATAATCATGTTTTCTGAAATATCCCCTTAATAAATAACATATTACTCAGTTGGATTCTGATTAAAATTATTAGGTAGAATTAACTCCTCCCATAGTGACCTAGAAATAGCAATAGAAAAATAAGCAAATGCAGTGTTTCCGTGTTCAATTATTCCCTGTTTCTGTTGGACACCAAAAGCCATTTTAATGAATAAAATGTCCCTTGATCAAGTAGTTTTGAAAGACAGTAAGTTGAATAAAGCATACAGGTTTCTTTTCCATTCTTTGGCTCAAAGGCTTATATTTGTAATTTCACTGGACGTTTATAAAATGGGATGGAGTCTGCACTTCTTTTTAAACAGGTTAACCATGGAATAATATATCATGTAGAGATGGTTTACATTAAAGAATACCTGGGGAAAATGCAGAGCTTGAGGGAGTTGGATTTGGGGATGAAGCAAACTTTGCTCCAGTATTTCCTCAGGAATGCTTTGTTATAGAAAAATAATAATAATTCTTGGCCCAAGAGTTTGAAGGTTGGGAGTGCTGTATTGGCTCTTCCCATTCTTCCTTTTGTGTACTAAGGTACTTCAGATTCTTTCACCCCACTTTTTCTCCCTTTGTATTTCAAGCTTGAAATTAAATTTTCTTTTCCTAATTGTGTCTCTTCTTTGGAAAGAAATTAAAATTTATCTCATATTTCGAATCCAACTTTACTATGAAACTTTGCTGTTGCACTTACTTTGATAACAAATCAATGGAAGACTGTGAACTTTATAATTTGATAGATCAAGTTTCAAGTTCTTGTGCTTTCCAGTCCTGGCTATATATTCCATAAGATCCCCGTTCTCTCTCTCTCTCTCTCTCTCTCTCTCTCTCTCTCTCTCTCTCTCTCTCTCTCCCCCACCCTCCTGTTTCCACTGAGCCCTCACTCCGATTTGGCAGGAAGTACTTCTGTGCTCAAGCCATCAAGATCCTACCTAGCCCAATCAGTTTCAATCAGTCAGAACTTGAGATGGTGTGATTTTCATATTCTGAGAAAATTACTACTTTGAAAAATCAATCATGGACACATTAAATTTTTCTTTACATTTCTTGTATGTTTTAAGGATTAATGCTACTATATTTTGAATTCACTATCAGGAAGTGTTCCGTCAAATTGTCAAGATTACAAGCAATCCAAATATGGTTTTTGGAGGTACACTTATCTTTAAAGTGGAACTGAAGTTCCATGCCCGCTCTATTTCTTCCTCTCGATCATTTTGATAAGAAGAGGACGTCTCTGTTTCTTATTTTTGCTGAATCTCAATCTATTTTAGGAATATTCTCCAAACATTACAAAACTGTTCTGTAGGGCATCAGGGTGGAAATAAATACTTTGGCAATGAAAAAAGAAAGAAGCTGCTAGGATAAAATAAGTACAACCACAAATTAGTTAACAATTAGAAAATTATACACTACCCTTAGTTTTCTTTGACTACACATAGGAGCCATTGGAAGCACCCCCCTGCTATCTGTGCTTGAGCATCTGTCTTTAGGTATAAATGCCCTGAGGTCAGCAGCAGCAGGTGCAGCAGATGCAGAACTAATTGTGTGATTTCTAGCAGATCATCACACTCAATAGAAGCTAATTAAGTCATGAGGTAACAAGGATGATAAATACAGAATGATTAAGTTAAATGCATATTTATTTTCCTAATGGCTCTTACATCACAGGTCGATCTCAGCAGATCAAATGGTTTCTATTTTAAGACTGTGAAGAACTTGGCAAGCTTCTGAAACACACGCCCATGTTCTTAAGGGTTTTTATCATCATTATAATGTCACCAATGCCTTAAAAGATACAAAAGTGTTTAGCATCAGAATATTTGTATGATTATTACAATGTCAAGTTTGGAGGAAAAATTTAAGGGTAATATAGTTCAATTCCTGCATTTTCTATAGAGATTTTTGTTGAGATGTCATGACTGGAACAAAGTGTATTAGGTGATATATTGTTTCATTTTAAGTAGAGAAATCAAGCTATTGTTGCTTGACCAAATAAAGATTTATTTTTTTATTATATTATGTAACAGTCTAGAATAGCCAGCCTAAGACCACTAGGGCATCATTACTAGAGGACATTATGCAAGACCTAGACTATTTTCTTCCTCCTCAATGCCATGTTTGTCTGTGACCGTTACCCTGGTGGATCTAATATGGTTGGTGCTCCCTTAGGAATCTGCCCACTCCCAAGAGATTGAAATTCTGTCCATGCTCAAGAGGTTGGAAATGTCAAGTTTGAAAATAAAGACAAAAAGAAAAGAAAAATTTGTTCACCATTGTCAGAGATTTCCCAAACTGGCCATTTATTAAAGTGGTACAGGCAGCTTTTAATGTGTAATATTCTTGCAATAGAGAAGAGGGTCTTCTGTGAACTGTCTCCTGGTTTTACTGAACTCAACTTTGACATGCCAAGAGGTGACTAGGTGATTTACCTAAGGGTATAGTGAAGGGGGATCTGTGGGTGCATAAAGCAGAATCTTAGAAGTGGACAGCTATGGCTTCAAACTAAAACAGTTCTTCCCAGAAAAGGAAACAATCAGAACGTGRAGGGAGAGCCCACAGAATGAGAGAAAATATTTGCCAYACCTCGGAKAGAGCATTAATTTTCAGAATGTATAAATAAGTAAAAAAAGTTAACACCCCCAAAATTAAATAACCCAATCAATAAATGGGCAAAAGGAATCAAACAAATACTTCTCAAAAGAAAACATGAAAAATCTACAAATATATAAAAAATGGCCAACATCTKTAGCAATTTGAGAAATTCAAATATTTTCTAGAATAGAAATGCAAATGAAAACTACAATGAAATTTCATCTCACTCCAGTTAGAATGGCAATTATGAAGAAAATTAATATGATATGTACTATTAAGGAAAATGTAATATATATACACAATGGAATATTACTCAGCTGTTAAAAAAGAATGACTTTATGACTTTACAGAGTATCATGGTAAGTGAGATAAGCCAGTCCCCMMAAATATCAAAGGTTGAATGTTCTCTTTGACATGTGGATGCTAACACACACACAAGTGGGAGAGGAGGAGGGGAAGAACAGAAGTTCAGAATACTAGATGAAGGAGAATGAAGGGAATGGAAGTGAGTTAGAAATAGGAAAGACAGTAGCATGAACTAGACATAACTTTCCTATGTTCTTGTATGAATACGTCACAAGTGAAACTCCACATCATGTACACCCACAAGAATGGGACTATAATTAGAATAAAGTTAGAGTATTTTCCAGTAAATAAATAGATGGATCTGGAGGCTATCGTGCTAAGTGAATAAGTGAGATCCAAAGAGCTAAAGGTCAAGTGTTTTCTTTCATATGTGGAAGCCAAACCACAATATTGGCATAGAGGGGAAGACTAGATATTCAGTAGATTAGACAAAGGAAATGAATGGAAGGAAGCAGGGATAAGTAAAGAAAAGGCAGGAGTTCAATGGATCTGACATAATTTTCCTATTTAGATATATGAATACATTACAGTGAATCCCACCATCATGTACATCCGTAGGAGTGGGATCTTAATTAGAATAAAATGTATTCCATTCTTGTATWATTATGTCAAAACGAATTCTACCACCATGTATAACTAAAAATAAAAAATAAAAAAAGAGTTAAAAATTTAAAAGAAAAAAGTGAGACATCTATGGAAATGAGAATGTGTATTGGTCCATGGGAAACTCATCTGGGTTTTTTGACTGGCACCTATCAAAGTTAGACTGGAAGAGAGTGTCCAAACCTCAGGTGTATCCTGGAAGAAGCAGAAAATCTTTTGGCAGTGTTAAGCCTTCCAAAGTGGGAGTATATAGAGACTGCAGTCTTTATCCTGCTGATGTTAGTGCTAGAAGCTATGCTTGTGTTTGCCTCTAAAGCGGGTGGTGGGGGAAGGTATCTATCTACTCTGGGGAGTCTGTCTTACTCCTCATTTCCTACTGAAATTCTGTGGTTTTTAATGATCAAGGATGAAATCTAGTGGAGAAGAGGGCTTAATGGGGCTTGACTAGGAGTGTGTGTCAAAGAGAGTCAGTCTTTGACACCATATTTGGTCATTTCATTCCAATAGGGATGGCACATGCTATGTTTCTAACATGTGAGAGTCATCTTTCCATCTCATGTCTTGGAAACATAGTATATGGACATTCCTATTATTGTCAAATGGCATTTCCCTAGGTGTGTAAAGGTCATGAATATTTATTGAACATGCAATTGATTTTTTTTTTCAATTTGAATTTTTTCATGTTTTTCTTTTGGGTTSCCTTTTTATTTTTATGACTTTTTATTAGCCATATAATTGTGTACTTTATGTATGATCTAGATTCCAGTTTTTGAGTATTGCAAATATTTACTCCACTCTGACAATCTGAATTTCAGCTCGTCTTTCAAATATAGTCATATCTTTCTTTTCATGTGCATTAAACAAGTCTTCCACATATTTTTGCACTTAGATATTTTATCTTTTCTTACATTTATTTAACATATCACCATGCCATTCATCATATGCACTTAACTTCTGAGTTATAAATGCATTTGGCAAAGATTTATATTATGAGAAAGAATGACCATAGTTTTTGAATAGAGACCTACATATCTAGTCATAATGTGCAAATCTAATTATTAATAAGTCATTAATAGCAGGATAAAAAGTAATCAAAGCACTGGAGCAAGTATCAATCATCCACAGTATTATTACTTTATTCTAATCCAATAGTAGTAGGCTGCATATTTTAGTAGATGCTCATATTATACCATTTTAAAATCAAATCACCTCAAATTTAATTGCATAATACATAGGAAAACTTTTCTCTTCATTAAATTCCATTTCCCCCATTGTCCCAGATGTAGAATACCCATAAAAACATATAGTATATACTATATAGTTGTATTACATAAAAATTATGATATATTAGTGCATAATAATACTTATTAATATTATATATAATATTTATTAATATAATACATATGAGATCTAGGTTATGATTTCCAACATAATTTAATGCATCTATGTCAATTTTGTTGAAATATTTGCAGAATTTAARACTTAGGACTCAATGATTAACTTTTTATAAGCTATTAAAAACCCAAGATGAAAACCAGAGTTTTGGACAAATTTTTGAAAGGATAAATCAAATCTGAAATAACTTACTTTTTTTGCCTTAAATGACTGTGTATTCCATATTTAAGTTATTCAAAGATATTCTTTTTTCTCTAATTGCTAAAATGTGTAGAAACCTTATTTGAAGGCAATTTGTATTCTATTAAGATCTCAGGAATTTTTTTAAAAGCCAGACTTATGTTTTAAAGGCAATTATTAGGTTCAAAATTAATTTTTTCATATAGCTTTCTATCTCAAAACACTTTCCTCTCAGTTTTTAAGGGAAAAATTGGAACATATGAAAAAATAGAGAAAATAATAAAACAGACTCTTATCTGTCTGTTGCCTGATATTGTATTTTCCAGGTACATATATCATATATATAATATATATTAAATATAATATGTAAATATAATATTAAATATATACATATTATATATATCACTTGTATATTATTTACTATCTCTCTCTTTCCATATTCTGATAGGGCTAACACCTTCAATTTCTTTCTCTGGTGGAACTGGGCACCCATGAATGCTATCAATGATTTAAACAATGATGTTGTAAATATGTATGCATACACATATCCCTTAAAATAATGAAAATAGTATCATACTATACATGTTATTTTGCAAATGTTTATTTTTCTTTAGCATCATCCTTTGGGGATTTATCTGTTGATTTATTTATATATGATCTATTCAGTAAGTGCTTTACAGTGTTTCTATCCAATGTGTAAAAATCAGTATATTTTCCAAGTTCCCTAATTTCAGGAAGTTAATGTTTTTTTTTCTGTATTTTCTGTACTATAAAAATTATTCATGTGCATTAAATATTCTCAAGAGTAGACTTCCCAAAGTGAATTTCTCATTCTGCATATTGACATATGTGTTTGTAAATATTTATATTCCTGCTAATGAGCCTTGATTTACACCATCCTCCACACCACTCCCAATGCTGTTTCCAACTTAGAGAAACAAACAAAATTGTCTATCTTGTGGGTTAGAACCGGTAACTTAGGGTTTTGCTTTTAAGCAGCATTTCCYTGATTACCATTTGAACATATTGTGGTATTTTATTTGACCTGG